TTTAAAAGAAATTTAACACTATCGTTGCACGAACTTTATCACTCATTAGCGACTGACTCGCCGTAACCATCCCCACAGTACTATACTCTTTGTCACCACCTGCGGCTTCAGAATTTCCTGTTATCGGGTTCTCTTCTTTTAAACAAGTGTCAGATTGGGATAGCTCTAGGCTAAAGTGTTCTTTGTGCTATAGAGACTGCCGTGCCAGTTGGGATTGTAAACTTATATCAGAGTTAGACCAGAAGCCTTACCTTGTGCAATCTTTCTTGCTTTGACCTGTTTTCAGCCCGCGATCATTAGAAAGACCAAAGGTCCTATCTTCATGCAGCCTAACTAAATTTGGTTCAGATCCGGATGTTTGAGTACAACACTTGTGGGAAAACCGGTAAACTCACAAATGAAGGATGAATTTTATGTATTTTTACCCCTGTGGGTATTGAACTAGGAATATGCATTTGAAGACCAGGGAGCACTATCCACTGTACTATTGACCCACTGGTTAATAATATATATTTTTATTTATATATTTATATATTTATTTATATAACTGAGAATAGTTATAAAAGAGGATTTTTCTACCTTTATAAGTTCAGACTTGTACTTTGCTTTTGAATTAATAAAATAATAATTATTTTTTAAATAAACACTTGTATCTTTTTCTATAGTTTTCTTTTACCAATTGACAAGCTTATTATTTAAATTGTTTTAATATATTTAAACTCTTATAGATAGGCTGATGCTTTTTAAATTTGAACTATTAAACTGTATGATTTTTAATATTAATAAGAATATTGCATTAAATCTGCTATATGGAATTTTGACTTGTTTGTTAATATAGTTTTAAATTTTTAAGTTAAAAATTATATTAAAATATATTTTAATAAGTAATAAGTTAGGTGTATCAATAAGTACTTGATATAGAGCTGATCAAAAAATAAATTAGAAGTTTTGATATAAGATACAAATAAAAGTATTTTGAAGTTAAATAGTAAGAAATTATTGTTTTTATAATATAAGTGTACAGTATATTAAAAAGTTGATTGAATAGGGAGATTATTATTTAAAAAATTAAATGTGATATAGTAGTAAAGAGTTTAAAAACTTTTTAATATTGTTGAGAAGAAATATTAAGTTTATTTGTATAGTAAATAAGTTAGTAACTATAGGAGATAAATCGATATAAATTTTTTTTTTTAAATAATATTAGAGATTAAAGTTTTAAATAATAAGATGATATTTTTCTTTAATTTGTAAAAAATCAGTTGCACCTAATAATTTGTTTAGAATATATTGGATTTTAATAAATATTAAAATGTTAACTATATTATATTATAGTTTTCAAATTAGATTATGTATTTGTATTAGAGTTTAGTTGATACCTTAATAAATTATTATAATCTATTATAAAGAAGACTTAATTAATTATGTTATATATAAACTCAATAAATTGTTATATTCAAGATATTGATCTAAGGTTATTGTCTAAATAAAGAATTTGATTGATGTAATTTATAATTTGATTGGCTTTTCTAAGGCTTTAATGCAATTAACCATATATTAAATATTCTCAATATAGAGTTTTTATATTGGACAATATGAATTTGGGTATTGGTCTAAATAAAGTTAATAGAAAATTTGTCAAATAGAAAAAATTTCTAATAAAAATTTAATTCTAAATGTTATCAAGATAATATTATTTATTTTTTATATTATAATTTTTTATAAATAAATACAATATATTTTACTAATAAAATAATTAAGTATTTAATAATTTTTTAAATTATTTTTTTGTAAAATTATTATGTAATTATTGATAAAATAATGATTTTTTTTTATAATATAATAAAAATATATTTATGCTATTAAGAATTTTTTGTTATAAATTTTATTAAAAAGTAAGCAGCATAATATTAAGTTAAAATTATTTTAAAAAATTTTTATTATTTAAAGAAATTATTAAAAAATATTTAAAGTTTTATTAATCTATATTTAATTAATTTATATGATGAAATAATTTTAATAAAGAATTTTTTTGATCAATAAAAATTAAAATTTTTAAATTAATATCTATTTTTAATTATATTTTAATTATTTATTTATTTAACTATTTATTTAATTACTAATAAAAATAAAAATTTGCATTTTTCCAATTATTTGATCATAACTGTAAATATTTTTAGTTTAACGTGGTCACGTATTGTCGGACAAAGAGCAATCACCTCTTTTACCTAGAGGAAAAAAGAAGTAATTAGACAACCCAAACCACTCAGCTAAATAATGCAAAGTGTGACTACTTAAATATTGTGTGACGTGCCACAACGGGATCTGTGAGCAAGTGACAGACTCACTGTAAATACTCAAAACTTTATTTTTTTATGCACAGTAAAGCATTTATATACATGCGTACAAAATTTATTCTCGAAAAGATATTACAGTATCTAGTAGAAAAAACTACCGTATAATAAATATTTATATTTTTAGTATTTAAACTAAAAATAGTTTTCGTGAAACGAAATTTGATGTCCATTTCACAATTGCTGGTTTTTCATTCATGCACTGTACCCTTATTATCAATACGTATTGTATTTATAACATCTGATAAGTTTGTGTTGCCAAATTCTTTTGGAACAATCTACGACCTTATATGGTTTCCTTGTACGGTATAATAAAGAAGGATAGTTTGAGTCGTGATTATAAAGAAAAAATTATTTATAGTGTCAATATCTTTGCAAAAGATTCTAACTCTTGATCTTGTAGAAATGAACTTTTTGACAAACCCATCAGTAAGGAGGAAACCGACCATAAAAGGTTCTTTCTCCTTCTTGGAACGATATAAAGAAACTTGTGTGATCACAATGGTTATCATGATTTTTTTAATGTGTACTGTTGGACTTGCTTCGTGTATTGCCTGTATGCATTTTGGTATTGTAAAATTATCCTTTTTATTAGTGTAATGAATTATCTATATTATCGTTTTTATAAATATGAACTAATTATTAATAACTACAGAGGTTAGAGAGTGGGCAAATTACTATCATGCCGCCGTTATGAGAGCACACTATTATAACGAGACGTACAACGAAGATGATGACATAATTCCCGAGTATTCGAAAGATTTAAGGTAGTCAAGGTTGTCTATTTATATTTAATTTACTATACTTGTTAACATCGATCAATTTTAATAGTAAATTTGGAGTGAAGATTTACGGTTCTATATGGATGTGGTCCTTTTTAATCTGTATGTATAAATATTGTTCTTTTCAACATTATAAGAAAGTACATCGATCTCATTTTTTTTTTTATATTTTACGCCATTTTAGATGCAAATATGTTTTTTGCGGCATTCCCACATACGGTTATGTAAGTTTTTTAAATAAATCAAAACTTTAAAGGAAATAAAATTTATAAAATTTTTCATTGTCTTAAAGTATAACATTAATATTATCGACAATATATGCTTGTACTGCATCTCTTGACTTTATTCGTGGCCAACCTCTAACATGTCCCCGTGGTAAGGCTTTTTTGCTAATTCTTTTTAAATTGGAGTTTTGCGCTAAATCGTTTTACTATCTTAGAGTACGATCCAAAATTTTATGTGATACCTGGGATCGACGGGCCGCTTAACTTAACATGTCAATATCACATTAAAGTAGCCGTTGCATCTTGGATAAATGCGGGGATTATTGCATTTAGCTTTATGGTTTATTTTTTATTTATACCGGTAGGAATACTAGTCCATGAAGCGGGTGTAAGAATCAGGGAATCTATTAGAAATGAATGGATATATAGGAAGGAATGTTTTGAAGCTTGGAAGTTGCAAAAAAAGTATAGGGAGGAGAGAAAACGTAGAGAAAATACAATAAATAATGAGAGCGGAGTTGATTGCGAAGAAAATACCATAAAAGATATAAGCAGGGTTAATGGAGAAGTAAAAAATGAAATTCATATTAATATGAATGAAAGTTAGCGATGATGTTTAATTAGAACGTCATGATATACGTACACAAAATTTTGTATTGAACATAAATCTCAATTTCTACCATGTAAAAAGCATATTTTTTGCGCACTAAAATATATTTTACGTTGTTATATCTTATATACTCTTTATACGTATTTGATATATTCCTTGTATAATCTTTAGCTATGACCAGTTTTTAACTTATAGTGATATAACTATTCAAGAGCTTTTCCAGTCCTATTTCATGTAATTGAATCTCTTCCATTTTATTGCCTTATTTTCTTAAAAGAAGCCTTAAAAACAAAGCTTCCTTACTAATTTATTATTCTTGGATAATCAAAATCTTGTAAACAATATTTGTTTCTTGAAATTTATTTTTTATTTTAATAGACCTTCTCGAATTTGTAGTCAATATTAAGTTACCTGATCCAGAGATAACTTTTTTTCACACTATTTTAATTCATAACTAATATAACGAACCATAGCCTGTCCTTACTAACAAAACAAACTTATTTTCTTGATCTTTATTTTTGTATAACAATTCTGACATCACAAAAGCATCATTGTTATCTTCTAAAACTAATTTTAACAAAATCTCATTATCTATTCTCAATCTTAAAAACCTTATTATTATGTATACTTTAAATATTAGAGATTTATTTTAGAAAAGTAATATTTTAAGCTTATAACAAATATTATTAATAAGTATAGTATTCTTTGCTTCTTTGAACCAAATCTTTCCTGTTTAATTCATTCCCAAAACTTTCAATAGAAATATTGTTGTTTCAAACCTTTTTAATAAATTATTTACCAATGGTACCTATATTATTTTAATTAAATCTGCAACAACTCATATTTTAAATAGCTGTTAACTAATTTATACTACTGATTATTTTAAATTCAATCTAAAAGTTGATATTATTATTTTTTTAATTAGTTTGCATATAAAAAAAAATCAAAAAACATAATTGTCACTTCAATCAAATTCTTATTAATTCTTATTGCAACAAACATATATTTTTTCTAGTAATTTTTTAACTCATATATCTCTTCTTCTTTATATTGTTATAACCAATCTTTACTCAGCATTCTTACCCATCCTTGCACAATTCTATTAACATTTATTTCTTAAAATTATTTTTTTTTGTTTTAGAATTTTTGTATTATTGATTTATTGTAGTACTTTTATTTATTTTACCTACTTAATTATCTCTTTTTATTTTATAATATTTTTTAATTTATTTATTCTTTTCTATATGCTATTTTACCTATTTAATTATCTCTTTTTATTCTATAATATTTTTTAATTTGTTTATTCTTTTCTATATGCTATTTTTGTCAAAGTATTCATCTCTATAAATGTAAATATATTTGGCTATTTTGATAAAAAATTTATTTTTTTATAATCATAATCTTTATTAATGTTTCTTATTATTATATATACATTTATATATATCAAATATATATTTAAAGGTCATTGATTTCTCTTGAAATTATAAGGTTGAACTTTTTCTTTATTAAAAATTATCTTGATCTTTATTAAACAAATTACTATTGTCTCTTTTCTTAATCTTATACATTTTATAATTGTACTATTTTTAGTATACTCTTAAGAACTTTAATATACTATATTGATCCATCTATATAAATGACTTCTTACTATTAATTCTCTATTTTTCTTTTTCTTTTGATATAGAAACATTGTATAACAATATATTAATATATTTTTTTCTTCATTAAAAATTTATTATAAATATTTATTCAACTTTTTGTAGTTAAAATTACTAAAAAATATATTTATATTTATAATATAATTACAAGTATCTTTCATTAATCAGATACAAATAAATAAAAACTTTGTTAACAAAGTCTGCTATCATAAAATATTAAATCAAACAATTATTTTTATTAACTATAAACAAAGATTTTATTATTTTCAGATAGTTATATAAATTTAACAAAATATTCTTTAATATTAAAGTTTATTAATTCTATAAAAATATCAATAACCAATCCAAGCAATATAAAAAAAATTAAACTATATTATGTTATAATTATTATTATATTTTAAAAATAATTTGATATTATAATTATTAATAATTTAATAACAATATATTCAAAAGAAAAATCAAATTCAATTAGTTTTTTAAAATCTTATAATAATATAATTATATAACAAAATTTATTAAAAAAAATTTCTTATATAATTATAATAATATCTTGCTTTATTAAAATTAAATTTTTATTTCTTTTACTTTGCAGATAATTAATAATTTAGTAAAAAAAATTTTAACAAAAACTTTCAATAAACCTTAAATTAGATTATTTCAAATTTAATTAAAAAATTGTTTAACCTTTCTATTTGTATTATATATTTCTTCAAATCTTTCTGTTAGAAATAATATATCAATTCACTTTAAAAGCTTCAATAACAAAAAAATATATTAACTTATAACCTATGGGTCTATAGCTCAGTGGTTAGAGCGCCATAGGTCTGTATCACAAGCTACAGGTTCAATTCCACTAGGGGG